TAGTCCAAACTATTTACTTCTTAAATGCGCACAGTGCATTACTCCGTGGAAGAAACGAACATCATTAGCATTAAAAGCTTTTGAAGAGTTTCGGTGAAACTCACGTGCGAAAAATAGATGAGTAAGTACAAATTAAAGACTTCCACAGATTGCTAGAAATATGTACGTTTCTTTCGTACCAATTCCCATTCTTCAAATACTAGGTTATTCTCAACCTAAATTGCGATAAACTGACACTGATGCAGCATATAGTAAGGAGTCTTACGTTGCTGCAATAACACAAATAAAAACCTGTTAACTGTGAACCAGGTTCCTATGGTTCAAGACTTGTATCAAGGAATTTAATTATGATATTCGGAGCTTATCAACTTTCTCATCAGCTCGCACGTCGGATATCACAATTCCCAAGTACGAATCAACTTCATACGTCCGTTAAGAACAACAAAATCCAATCCACACTTTTTGCAGGATCATAATACTCCATCAACAGACCGCTTCCCTCACGAGAAATAACAAAAGCTCCAATTTCAATACAACATCGCGATCTTTCGCTCGGGCTTACTCCGCAGACGACGACTAAGGCGGGCCTCGTCCCAACGTGTCACGGCAGACAGGCTGCCAGCGAATCCACGTCAACGACGGAGAAGTGTAAGCCTCACGCGGGAGACGTCGAGTTCAGCCCATCTGCCTCCTTTCCGTCCCCGTCCCCGGTCCAATCCTGTTTCACGAAAATCCTCGCGTTCACAATTGCCGCTCACCGCGCATCTGCCCGCGTCCTCGCTGTTATCCGCGCCGTCTGCCGCTTTCGCGTTCGCTGCGTTCGTCCTCTTCATACCGTCCCTCCCTTTCTCGTCTTCATCCACGATCGTAACTCACATTCCTCCACTCCCCTCCATTCTCCTCCTCACCACTTCCAATAGCTTCTCTACCCTTCCCGTCTCGCGGTACACGATTCATAGTCATTTAATCTTTCGGTGTTCACGTCGTTGTTGTCTATTTGGGGGTAAATGATGCGTAAAATTCTTTGATACTCTGATTTATTTATCGATAGCTTTAATTTTTAGTTTACTTCTTTTTTCGATTGTAATGTTTATGTATTTCTTTACAAGCCACAGAATTAGTGTTTATTTTTCTTTGTACTGTTGCTTTTATTGTCTTCGGATTTGTCCTTTGTTTTCATGAGACCAAGTGGTCCTGGTGTTCTTAGATTTTCTTTTACTTAGTTTTTTTCGGCCTCCGCAAATTCACAATCGCGAACATTCGTTGAAAAGTATCTTTTACATTTAGTGTGATACTATTTCGGCGTCCATCAGGTCTTGAACTGTCGGGATGCATTCATATTTCTTTTAGGCTTCCTTTAATTGTCGCGATTCAACTTTTAGTATTTTTCTTTGAAATATAGCCCTTCGGGTGGCTCATGGACAGCACGCTAGCTTTCTGTGGCGCGACTGCACCGAAACGCAGTTGTAGCTTTCCCATTAACAAACTTGTCAATATCTACAGGTAGGTGACGAAAGAAACGTTCACGCAGGCCAAATATCCTACATACGGTGATGTGAATACGTCACGATCGCTACATGTCTCCCTTGCCCCCACGCATGGATAATGCATAAAGACAGGGTTCAGGCCTGGGTGCACTAGCTAGCTGGTGAAAGTCAGATTAATCCGGCCTTAAAATGCCAAATACATATAATTGTTAGAAATGTAAGCTGAGCATGTTCGATGGGAGTGCGGATAGCTATTTTGTGGCCAATCGCCGTCGCTTTCTCGCCCTGGCCGTCCCCACCGTTCCCGCCGCCTGGCCTCCCCCTCCCCCCGTAGCCTGTGGCGTCGCAGCGAGGCGCAGTCCCTCTGCGGCGCCCCGCAGGCATCGGGAAAACAAAAGTTGCGCGCGGCTTTTTTCTTGTGGGTGGGAGGCCCGCAGCTGGCGCTCGCCCGACCGCACACTTGTCTCTCGCCGGGGCGGCGGGAGGACGGAAAGAGGTGGGGGAG